TACTGTGAGCATTTTACTCTTCCTATCTACTGAAATCTAGGCTTCTTAACACAACTAAATAAAATCATGAATCATTTAATGTAAGATGAAGTTACTGAGTGGCACCTGAGGGTTAAGCGTTCTTAACATTATTTATAGTTCTAATAAACTGTTAGTTGATTTGTTTTTTATGTAAATGCTTGAAGTCTTAAACAAGGTGGGCCACACCCAAAAAATCCAATAAGCTCCAAGTACCCAAAATGCCTTCTTAAATGGAAAATTAAATATAAGATATACTTGGCAAAGACAGAGCTGATTTTTTTTTTTTAAAAAAAATTTGGTTATAGAAATAGGATTAATCCACATGTATTGCGTGAATTAATCCTAGGCGAATGACATATTAACATGTTGAAGGGCCAGCATCCTGTAAAAAAGCAAGTGCTGCTAAGCTTATGAAATTTGTGGTGGTAAAAAAAAAAGCTTATGAAATTTGTACTTAAAATATGGACTTGGATATCAATATAATTATGTCATTGAGTACTAAACTGTATATGTTTGATTAAAGTGTCATATAAGTTCAATATTCTTATTTTTTTGGTAGAAAGTTCAATATTTTTATTCAATTATATCTTTAATTAGGACGATGGAGATGTTATACTCCTGGATTACCATGAGGGGAAGGTTCAGCTGCTGGAACTGGGAAACGATAGCTGGAGTGTTAACTGGGTTTTCAGGTTCTTTGATCTCCATGACGTTTTTAAGGTTCCTATATCTGCTACTCTCTGGACTATGTCGATTCTGCGCTACACGGATGTTTTGTTGGCCTGCTGGTATTGCTCACATAAGGCGAGCTTGTTTCCTTTTGGCTTACTGCTCTTTTGTGGCTTTTTTGGCTATTGAATACGCGAAGATGGTAGGCCTCATGGATTTTGTTAGAGTTCCTGCTTCTTGGCACTTATTTTCGTGAAGTGCCGTGTCTTTTTTTTCTCCCCCATCGGGTGATGATATCATGGTTCTAGCATGTAATATTCTTGGCGCATGATAACTGAGGAGTGGCTCTACATGCCTCGTGTAAATATGGAGGAGATGCTTAAATAGGTGTTAAGACTTACCGGATTAAATCTGGAGTTAGTTGAAATCAGTGGGTGGACTTCAGGGGACGAGGGGGTTGAGTAGTTTACAAAATGGATTAGGTTTGTAATTTATGTGTCGGTATGTGAAAAATCTAGTTTACAAAATAGAAATATGAAAGCTTCTCATTGAAAAATCTAGTTGAAATATGACATTATAGTTTGCAGAATTAATGCATGTGAGTAGTTTCTTTAAGTAATAGTCGCCACTCGCCAGTGCATTTAAATGTAGAATTTGGTTGGCAAAAATAAATAATAATAATAAATGTAGAATTTGTTTCCAGATAAAAGTTTCTAATTTATGCGTCGCATTTTTGCTTTAAGGGCGTTGGGTGGGCACATTGATACGAGTGAAGGGAAGAAAAACGTCTGTACGGTCTTTGGATTAAAATGCGATAATTATGCGCGTCTATATAATTGAGTATAAAAATAAGTTAATAAATTTTGAACATTTATTTCCATACTCTTCTGCACTGTTTGGGAAGATTTTTCCGTTTGGAAGTTATTTTTCATTAAAAAAAGCCATTCCTCATTCAAATTTAAAAATAAGGGATTTATTAGTTTCGATTTTTTCATAGAAAATATTTATTTTTAAGAATCTATTTTGTGAAGTTGTATATTATTTTTTGAAGCTTTTTAAAATGATTGGAATCCAAAAAAAAAAAAGAGAGAGAGTAGGTTTCCGAATATTTTAAGAAGCCATATCGAACGGTTTCTGCCTTGCGTAGCTAGACAGGTAAAGATCGTCTGGCTCTTCGAGACGGGGAACAAAACTTTAACAAATTTCTAAAAATGATGTAATTCGGTAAATAAGAGAGAATGCCATAAAAACAGAGGAATACACTGAGATATTATAAAATTTTAAAATAACTAAATAATTATCACGATTATTATAACCAAACAAAATAATGTTATCTTTTTATAAAAATTTTAAACTACTAAAATAAACGGGTTCTAAATTCCAGTGTTTAAATTTTTATCCATTATACGAGAATGAAGAGGAAAAAAATCAAAGAAAATAAAATTTTGAAAAGAGAAAATGTCAAATCATGCACGAGAGAGATGATGCATGATTCAAAGCACATACAAAATAGTAATTCCTAGTTCGCAAACACAGGCCAAATGAATCAGATTGAAATGTTTTTTTAGGATGTACGCCTACATACCTTGGGAGAAAAAGATAGGGGAGAAAAAGCTCCACATTCTCACCTCAAACCTCCTTCATCCTAAATACACACGGTACTTTAGCCAAAATAATAAAAACACAAGGTCCTAGCCCACTAACAACAAATTTTTATTGCAATGAAGCAAAAACCAAGCTATTTTATCATCATAAATTTGCAATGCTACAACATGATAAATAATCAAGATAGTCAAAAACTTAAATAAGGGGTTCACTATTCTTAAAACAAATTTCTCCGAAGACAAGCCTGAGAAAAGTTAGCATCTTTTACTACCGCTTTCCATAGCCCAATGCTAGTAAATCTCCTCATCAGGGACATCAGGGTTCAAGAACTTCCTCGGGTCTTTACTTATTTCTTCATAGTTCAGAGGCGACTTAACCCTTTCTGGTACAGGCATCAGAGGAATAATGCTATCCCTGTCAATTACCCCATCAATTATTCCATATTCAACTGCTTCAATTGGAGACATGTACCGATCCCTATCAATATCTTTCTGGACTTGTTCGAATGAGCGACCAGTGAAACCGGATATAATTCTTGTAACATTATTTTTGTTGTGCATAACCTCTCGAGCTTGAATTTCTACATCTATAGCTTGTCCGCTAGCACCTCCAAGAGGTTGATGAATCATAATCCGTGTGTTGGGCATAGCAAGACGCTTGCCTTTTGTGCCGCCACCGAGGATAATGGAAGCTGTTGATGCCGAAATGCCGAGTGCAACTGTGGAAACATCAGCCCTCACAAGTTGTAACACGTCATAGATGGCCATTGTCGCGCTGAATAGATTATCAAACTCAACTGTTACAAGGAAACTAGCCAAGGGCAACAAAGAAACGCAACAAGAAAAGAAACCAAGCAGACAAGCACCAATAAAGAAAAATGCTACTGGCCAGTGACCTTTCTAGCTGGCCTGGCCCAGTATACTCTCAAGGGTTCAATTTCTACCCACACCATACCCAAAGAAGCATCAATGCTGATATGCTTATCAACTACAGCATGATACAATATGCTAGATATAGTAATTTCTACGATAACAATGGGGTACTATAATAAGTGTGCATGCACACAAACAACAAATTAATGCTAAAAAAATAACAAAAAATCTTAAACAAGTATTCCAAATGTAAAATAAGATGTTCATATGAAGTTGCAAATAAAAATAAAGAGCAAATTAAAACTATATCTCTCAATTTAAATTAAATATCAATCTTCATCTCCATTCACCTCACTAAAATGCCCCACAAGCTCTTCCAATCCCAACCCATCTAGAGAATAATTTGAAACTTCAAAACCTCCACCCCCATCGAATGGCTCCCACTGATCTCCATTAATATATCACATCTTAGTTTGTCTATTGAAAATACATTTCACATTCCATGATGGAAGCTGAAGATTGGCATCAAGGAATCACTGATACGCCCCGGAAAAAATGGAGCATTCAGGTCACATATAAACGGATTAGTTGAGGGTACCTAATATAGGACTTGGTACCTGTCCTAAAGTTTGGCATATGAAAATTAAGGATCAAAGTCAAATCAAGTTGTTAACACCACCACTAGCCAAAAGCTTATCTCTTAGAAACTTAAATGATTACCATTCTTGAAAGTGAGACAATCAAGGGAAGATGGAGGGCATGTGGTGCATGGAAAGAGCCTTCAACCACGGTGCTAGATAGAAATTGTACGTGGAAGTTACTATAATGTTTTATCATAGTTGTTCGACAAATATTAGATTATTTAAATACACTGCAAGCAACATATTTTTCTACAAACCTCCTAGTTGTGATGCACTAAGACACTTGGTGGCAAAAGGAGAGATAATGATGACAGGCCAGAGGTTAATTAAAACAATGAAAAATATTGGGGTGAGAAGAAAGAGAGTATAGTGACATGCGGTAGTATCTGATGGAAATATCAATTTTTGAAGCACAACAATGAAAAATATTGGGGTGAGAAGAAAGAGAGTATAGTGACATGCGGTAGTATCTGATGGAAATATCAATTTTTGAAGCACAAGATCGGCCAAGGGAGAGCCATCATGTAGCCACGTACAAATAAGTCACTGAAAGAGGAGAATGAAGGGTAACTCGATAAGTTTAATGAGTTTAAAGAGTACAAGGGCAAATTCTGCCTGGATAACTTGATGAAACAAGTAGTTGAAGAGGCTAGATCTGAAAATGTTAGGTTTTTTATGCTGATAAGCCTACAGTTCATTTGTTATATGATAAGTGGTATTGACTGATAGAAGTAGTAAAGGAATTAAGAAAGGAACCATTCAACCGTTCAATCTTTCATGAATTTGTATAGAGTATCCCTGATCGAGAATATTAGTCACTCACTATGTTATGACATGAAATAAGTCCACAGACATACGGAACCAACAACATTTTTAAACATCCCTAATACTTCATATTAATCCTTCTTATATTCATATCCTTCTAAAACCTCCACCGGCAGGAATTCATAAGGCACCAAGATTTCCCTTTTTCCCCCGTTTATTATAACTTGTCTTATACATTTTCAACTTGTGTTACAATCCATCTATCTCTAACCTGTCCAACCCTCAGCAAACAAATCACAGTCAAAGCAAAATGGCCACACCCACAGAGACAGATAACTAAAGCAAAATTTTACCTTAGATTGCCACCAGGCGAATTAATGAAGAGTCTGATATCTTTTTTGGAATCTTGAGCATCCAGAAGCAGAAGCTGACTGATAATTGCATCAGCCACAAAATCGTCGATACCGCTACCCAAAAAAACAATCCTCTCCCTAAGCAACAACCCCATCGCATCACTTTCGGCCCCCCTAATGGCCGTAGCAGGCGTCTGAGGAGCAGATAATTTGAAAATGTCATCGAAGTTTTCAGGTTTGGACACAAAGTTTAGGGTTTTAGGGGACTTTGGTGAGGATGATAGCATGCACCTGAGTGAAGCTCTTGAAGAATAGGGACGCGAGGGAATAGCGATTTGGGAATTAAACGCGGAAATAGACGGCTTTGAAGAAGAGAGAGGAAGCCCGCGAGAGGCAGGCGAAGCTGAAGGGTGCGAAGGAGAGATTGAAAGCAAATCCATGGGCGAACTATCTGAAGCTAAATCCAGAAAGAGATTATCAGGCCACTGAACAGCTTATTATATTATCGGGGAAGACGGCAAAAGGTGAGCGACCTTGGAAAAAAAAAACAAAGGCTCTCTGTTAGGGAAACTACTCCTCCTCCGGTCCTTATTATAAGACCCAATTTGACTTTTTATTTGGTCCTAATTATAAGACCCAATCCATTTTGTCTCTTATATTTATGCATTTTTTTCCAAGATAATCCTTCTAATAATGATAGTTTTAGCCAATATACTTAATTAGCAAGGATATTTTAGGAATGACAACACTTATTTATTATAAATAACCAACTTAACTTACTTCCTTAATCTCCTCAAATAAGTCAATTGGGTCTTATAATTAGGACCGGAGGAGTATTTTCTTTTTTTGCCAACTGGAAAAATGCGCATTCTTATTGTGAAAATAAGGAAGTTTGATAAAAATAAAAAAGAATATAACTCATAATAATTTCAAAATTGTTGAAAAGTTACTTATTAAAATATGGCTCAAACTCAAAGATACCTAGATTTTATTTAAGAAATTAATTTCTTAAACAGATGTAACTCATTTTTAACCGATGTAATTATATTTTAATTGTATGTGACATATGTATTATTTAATTATATGCAAATGTTTTTAATTGGTCCAGTGCCCACGTCAACATTTGGTTTCCCCTACTTAAGGATTAGAGTCCTTAGATAAATTTTGATTATCTTTGGATAAAAAAAATATTTTGACGAGAAAATTTTCATTAATTTTTCCTAATTTTTTTTTTCAGAAATAAGAATGATGTGAAGATAAATAAAGAAATATTAACTAAAAAAGAAAAGTCTGAAAATTCTTCCAAAACTACTTTTCTTTCTTTCTCAGTGTATATTTAACTTCAAACCAAATGCAATAAAACTAAAAATAGACGATCTATTTTTTTTAATATTGCATTGTATGAGAAGCATGTCATGGGAAATGACTTCGTTTCGTAGCGTCAAATTCTGGAACATCACCATCTCAGAATCAGATGGGTTTCGTTGCTTCATATCACCACCCATTTCTGTTCCTAAAATATTCTCTCAGGTAGAAAGCGATTTGATCTCAAAACCATAAACGAAACCAAAAACCATGTAATGTAAGTTCATCAATCAATCAATTCTATTAAGAAGCACGTTGAAAAGGGAATACTAATAGAAACGGTTTAAGAGGATGCAGGCGGATGGGAGATGAACGATGATGGAGAAGAGCGAGAATGAGAGGACGTCAGGTGGACGAGAGTTCTATGCAAATGGAAATCACATGAATGCTGCAGAAGTTGAAGCCAAACTTGACCAAGGAAACGTTGAAGCCGCTGAATCTGCATTGAAAGAGGGCTTATCTATCACTTCTGAGGTAGCTTCATCCAAATCCCTTCACACGTATCATCATATACTCTCCTAACTCTGGCCCCTTCTATTTTCGTTTCCCTTCTCAGAAATCAAATTTGTGACCTTGTGCCCGCACAACCAATCTGAATCCCTTACATTCACACTAATGAATATGTGTATATGTATGTATATATGGTATATTATATTGGAGAGAAATAACAAGAAAAAAGATGATGACCATAATGATGAAATGTGGATCCCCATGCAATCATATGAATGCATTATGAATGTATAGAGGGTCTAATTTATGGCATAATGAGGAATCAAGTTTTCAAACTACATCACCTGATCTGTTTATCTTAATTGCATTGTGTTATCAGGAAGCAAGAACTCTTATAGGGAAGCTAGAGTATCAAAGAGGGAATTATGCAAGTGCTCTTCGTGTGTTTGATGGGGTTGATCTCCAAGCTGCCCTTCAGCAATTACAATCGTTAGTTTCTGATAAATCAGCGGCCAAGAAAGCACGCCCTCGTGCTGAATCACCTACCTCAATCCCTAGGCATGCTGCTAGTTTGATGCTTGAATCCATCTACTTCAAAGCAAAAACCCTACGAAAGCAGGGAAAAATAACTGGTATTGAATACAATTTTGAAGTAATCATCCATTCATTGGTGCAATTTTCTTTTAGTATATAGATCCCCTAGAATTCTTTGTTCTAAATTTACTGTAAAATTTAAAGAAAGTGTGACAACAAAAGTAAGCAATGTGAATGAGATTCACTTTCTCTTTTACCTCCCATTCTCTCTTGAAATTTTACAGTAACTTAACGAGGAATAACTATGAAAAATCTACGGTCGTTTTTTATGTCTTGCTTTTCTCCCCAAATGAAATGTGAATCTTCGAACCCCTCTAGTATCCTACTTCTCTTTGAATAAACTGTAATGCTTGTGTTATTGCTCGCTCAGAAGCGACCACTGAATGCAAAAGTGTGCATGAGGGTATTGAGAAGGCATTCAGTCAGGGTGTATCTGATATTCAACTGGACAACACATTGCAAGAAGTAGTCAGTGGCATTGTGGGACTTCTTCCAGAGCTTACAAAGCAAGCAGGTAGCTATCAAGAGGCATTGTCTGCTTATAGACGTGCTCTTGAACTTCTGAGTCAATGGAATTTTGATACTGATGGGAGTGCTAGAGTTCAGAAAGGACTTGCCAAGCTTTTGCTATATGGTGGGTTCGAGGCTAGCCCACCCAAGGCAACTGATCTGGGCGAGGGGTTTTATGTACCTAAAAACAATCTGGAAGAGGCAATTCTGCTTCTAATGCTTGCTGTGAGGAGACTTTGCATTGACAAGTCCAAATGGGATACTTCAGTGATGGAGCACCTGACTTTTGCACTTTCTGTATGTGGCCAAACTTCTGTTCTAGCAAAGCAACTTGAAGAGTTAATGCCTGGATTATATCATCGTATTGATCGTTGGAATCTTTTAGCTTTATGTCTCTATGGAGCAGGACAAAACCAAAGTGCTTTGGATCTACTCAGAAAATCTTTGCACAAACATGAGAGACCAAATGACATTGAATCATTGTTAGCAGCTGCCAGGATCTGCAGTGAGGATCCTTATCTTGCTGCAGAGGGAGTGGGGTATGCACAAAGGGCAATCAATAATGCTAAGGGCATAAACGAGCATTTGAAAGGTGTGTGTCTTAGAGTGTTGGGACTTTGTCTGGGAAAGCAAGCTAAGGTTGCTTCCTCGGACTTTCAAAGGTCTAAACTTCAGTCCAAAGCTCTGAAGTCACTAGAAGGGGCAATGGGATTTGAGTATAACAATTGTGATCTGATTTTTGAGTTGGGAGTTCATTATGCAGAACACAGAAATTTGACAACTTCTTTGCGCTATGCAAAGCAGTTCTTTGATGAAACAGGAGGATCTATATTGAAAGGTTGGAGATTGATTGCTCTGATTTTGTCTGCTCAGCAACGATTCCCGGAGGCTGAAGTGGTGATAAATGCTGCTTTAGATGAGACTGCAAGATGGGAGCAAGGGCCACTGCTTAGACTAAAAGCAAAGCTCAAGATTCTCCAGTCACAACCAACGGATGCTATTGAAACTTATAGATACCTCCTTGCATTGATTCAGGCTCAAAAGAATTCATTTGGGCCTATGAAAATAAATACACAGGTAATATGCCATATGCTATCTTAACAGTGGTAGATTGCATGTACTACTTTTTATCGTTTTGTCATTTAAATTGTTTTAGCGGCTGGGTACACAGGTGATCTGGGAAGTGGATATATATCCTCTGAATCTGTCGTCATTTCAGCACTTTTAATTTTCTTTTATGCAAGTTATTTTTGTGGTTGCTGAGCCGTTTCCCCTTTTTGTTTAGGATAGTTGCAGAAGAAAGATTTTATTTTTTCTTATAATTTTTGCATACAGGAAAATATTGGGTTATTTGTTGGAGATAGGTGCTCTTCAAGAAGCTCAACCATAATTATTTTAAAGCAAGTACTTTAAAGCTGTCTCCATGGTTTTGGGAGAAAAAAGAACCCTAAGTTAGGAGAAAATGAGTTTACATTTATCCCTTTACTAATTTGTTTCATCTTGGAACTTATTTGCTCTTAAAATTTAAATCAATTTTTAATTTTACTGTTATCTTTTATATTGTACAGGCAGTACTTGCTTCACTTTTAGTTTTGCTAAAAGAAAACAGTTATACGGCGGGAGAATACTGGAGTTTTACTCCCCCAGTTGATACATATATGTTCATCCTTTCATGTGAGTCTTCATGTGTAATTGTCGACTTTGAATTTAATTTTTCCTTTGTCAATTTGTTTTAGGTTCAAGACGATGTGAAGGAAATTGATGTTTGGCATGGTCTGGCAAATTTATATGCAAGCCTTTCTCATTGGAAGGATGCTGAAGTTTGTCTGGAAAAGGCCAGAGAATTGAAGGAGTACTCAGCAGAAACAGTGCACATTGAAGGCAAGAACAAAACCTTGAGTTTGATATTCTAATCTAGCTTGTTGGGCTTAGGTTTTCTTTTTCTTCTTTTTCTTCTTCTTTTTCCCTTCCATTTTTAATCAAATCACAACCTTGCCTTTGGGAGGCAGTACAGAGGATTTAGTTACAGACTTCTAAAAGTCCAATGGCATTGGGAGATAACTTATACAAGAATACTAAGGTTATGTCTGAATTGAAGGGAAAAGAAAATAAGATTATACTATAAGAGCTAGTTGACTAATTTGAGAAGATTAAGAAAAAAAGTTGAGTTAGTTATTTGTAATAAACATGTGTTATTTTTTCTAAAATATCCTTACTAATCAAGTGTATTGACTAGAATTATTATTATTAGAAGGACTATTCTGAAAAAAAATATATAAGTATTAGAGAAAAAGTGGATCGGGGTCTAATATTTAGGACCAAAATAAAAATCAAACAAGTTCTTATATTAAGAACCGGAGGTAGTAGAAAATTTATTTCGAAAGATTCTCTTTAATTTATAACTAAATATAACGTTAATATTTCTTTAGGCTTATTTAGATTGAGATCTAAATTAAAAACGTTTCAAAATCAAAATTTCACTTCATCATCTTTCAAAATAAAGGATGATTGGAGAGTTTCTTTGGATTAAGGAGAATGGAAAAGGAGGAGGACATAATGTTCACTTGAATAAAGACCAAAGAAAATGAATTAAAATCTCTCTTCCCCTCGGCCCCGGGGGGGTGGGAGAGGACATATTTTGGCCGGTTCTAAAGCAACGTTGTCGGAGAATGTGAAAGTATAGCCTAAAGCCTTCGAAGTAGCATGAAGAAAAAAGCAAATAGTCTTCTGCATGTATGTAGATATTAATACTTTCCTGTGTGATTCTACCAGGTCTTTTGTATGATGGACGTGGAGAAAAACAAGAAGCTGTTTCTGCTATCACGACAGGGATCCTGTTTGATCAATGCTATGTTCCAAGCAAGATCCAGATGGGTATTTTGCTGCTCAAAGTGGATTCAAAGTCGAAGTCTTTGCCTTTAGCTAGAAGCTTTCTTTCTGATGCACTTCGATTAGAACCCACTAACCGCACGGCTTGGTTTCACTTGGGAAAGGTTCACAAGTATGATGGCCGAATAGGCGATGCTGCCGACTGCTTCCAGGCAGCTTCCATGCTTGAAGAATCTGATCCTGTTGAAAGTTTCAGCACTTTGCTTTGACTGGATTTCAAACTAGGATCAAAAGAAGAGAAATTGCCCTCATTTTAAAGAAATTCATGTTAAACTTGTCCGCAGGATGGCTCATGTCAAGAGCCTGGACTAGTGAAGGCTCATGTGGTTCAATTGCTGTTCTGCCCTGTAAATGTATGTTGCTTAACCGAGAAGTGTCATTAAAAGAAAGTGGAGATTCATTGCCGATGTACGTAGCACAATTTGCTAAAATCCGTCTGATTCTTTCTTATATTTTCATGTATCAAATACTATGCGGAGGACAATCAGTTCAACAGAAAGAAAATGTTCAAAATTTGGAAAAGCAATGTGATCCAGCAAATCTTGGCACAGTCCATGTCAAATTCCAAGTCCAAATGTTAGATACGAAAACAGTTCTTGAGCATAGTCCACCGAACGCATACTGCCATTTGCCTTGTTTAGCTGTCTGTTAGCATCTTTGGCTAAGTTGACGAAATTCCAAAACGGTTTCGAAGAGAGTCAATGGCTTTGTCAAATGATTGCGATAGATTAGCGACGGACGTTTTGCAGGCTGAAATTTTTTAAGGCAAAAAAAAATCAGAAGCCTGTTTATTCAAATGGGTGTAAATATCTCAACAGATTTGTGGACAATCTCACATACGAGTGTGGCATATGTGCGTGTATAGATCTGAATGTCATAAGACAAAGAAACCAAACTATAAGAACGCGACGTGCTGCCATGTATAGGTAATTTTCTTCCTTTTTATTTTGATACAATGTGTAGTTCTATGAAGCGTGTTCGGACACAGTTCTGAAAACTTACCGAAGATAATGAACTAGGATTATGTCATCAAGTTACAATGATAATTTAATCAAACAAACGTACCACGAGATGCGCTGATCTGTGCATCTGCAACGAATTCTTTATACGAGGCCTGAAAAGAACAATTAGATTCTCTAAATTACCATTATATAAAGCAAACCATTATATTCTCTAAATATTATTAAAAAAAAAGTTAAAAGAACGGAGGCAATATACCTTCATTAATTCTTGATTTTCAGCAATTCGTTCAGAAACTTTTTTGTATTCTTTATCTGCTTCATCCATCATTTGCTGGCATGATTGAGTCTGCATCTATATGATTTAAAAAATAAATGGTGAAATTAATTAGATCAAATATCTGAAATTCTGAATTTACAGTGCCGTTGTGAAACTTATAACGGCAGGGACGAGATTCAATCAAAGGACGACGAGCATCTTGACTAGCGTTCCTTCTTTTTTTCATTTTTCTCGAAAACGATATCCGGTGGCTAGTATGACACTGTACGACACGGAGACTCTAGCGGCAATGCTCTGGCAGAAAAAGACTACAGCAACAGCCCAATTTATTCAGATCATGGAAAAACGTGGTTCTCGAAATTTAATTCTCGACCTTTTGGCTAAGATCAAGTGTAGTATCTGTTCTTATCAGTTTAATTCTCGACACGTTTATTGAGTCGAATGTGCATCAGGTTTTGTGAAGATGAAACAATCAGCTATCAAGATTTCTTATACGTGACTGCCAAAAAAATCAGAACACGATGATAAATTCCAAATTTATGTTTCACTTTCTCTAGTGCTCCGGATCATGCGAAGTCATTTAAGTCTCTTGGATGAATTCATTCTTACTTGCAACTAAACAAAACTCGAAGTTCTCAAAAAACTTCGATGCTACACTGGAGTACGTGTGATCTGATAAACAAATTTACGATTACACTTAATGCGATTTTACAACTTGCAACGAGGCGAAAGGAAATGAACGAGCAATACCTTAAGTCTCTTGCGGAGACGTAACTGGGAAGCCTCGAGATCGTTGAAGATCTCAGAGTGAGAGCGATCAATCAGGCCCTTCAGTTCGTCAAGACGCGTAGCAGCGAGGTCCTTCAACTCCGATACGTTGCTGACAGTCTTGAGAGCTTGAGATTTGGCGTGGTCAACCGTTGCTCTCTTGGTGTTCTTGGAGGTCGAAGCCGTTCTGACGAAGATCGCCGACGCCGGGGAATCGTACGGCGGGGAAGATCTCGGTGATGGCGTTGTGAGTAGATTAACCATGGCGACCTTACTTTTCCCCTTTTTCTTCATCCTTCGTAGTTTCTTCTTCTGCAAGACAGGGAGACACAGCGCTCTTCAATTTGAAGGTTGAGCCGATACAGCGTTGGCGGGTATTTACATTTTGAATATGCTCCCATGTAACGTAACAAACCAACCGTAATGATTTTTTAAAAAAATAGTAGTACACAGACACTGCACAATAAGCGTGAGCAAGTGCGCGCGCGCATCATTGGAAAAGCTAGGCGGTAGGCATTCTTAAAAACTGCGTAAATAATTTTTAATTACGAAACTAATTACAAAATTTTAAGCTTTTCAACATTGAACCGTTTGATATAAAATTTTTTTGGTGGTAAAAAGGGATTTTTCCTTTGGCACGAAGGTGTCAAAAAGGATAATCAATATATTATGGAAGATCAAAATCATATGTAAAAATTTATTAATTGTTTATTAATTATTAACATGTCAATATAAAAACGATTCATCCATCTAGCAGGGAATAATAAGTATCTGTTTGATTGGAGGGGAGGAGAATGGAAAAATTTTAGTAGGAGAAAAGGAAGGAATATTAACATTCCATTGTTTGCTTACATAAACAAATAAATAATTATAATATATACTTATGTATTTAGAACTCGTCAGAGCCTCATAATGAGGCAAGATGACTACCTTAAAACTTTTTTTAGCATAAAACTGTAAGTTTTGTGAAAGGAATAATAAATGAGAGTTATGATTAAAAAAACTATAATAAATGTGCGACTCATATAATTGTCCGACAACTACACCGTGAAACCCAGGGAACTCCTTCACACACGAGACACGACTGATTGCTGCAGCTCGCAAATTAAATATAATCAAGGGAAAATGGCAAAAAAAAAAAAACTGCTAAAATAGAAAAATTACAAATAAGGACCTATGACAACATTAGTATGGATTTCAACAACAATAGTATAAATTTTGATGATAATTTTTATAAACCAGTCTCTCTGTACAAATTTTCTATTTCCGCGGTTTCTTTTTACCATTTTCCCTACAATCAAATAATATGTATATATTATAAATTGCTGTCACTCACATGCGAAGGAGGGGACAAGTTAAAAATAAGTAAAACGGAGATGGAGATCAGCGTAGAAATGACAGGGATAATGATCCTCACAAGGATACAAAATTATACCCTTCCCCTCCCCTCCAACCAAACAATGTGTTAAAAGTCACAAGTAACTTTATGAATGGAAAATGATCCTCATGTTACTACTTTTAGAAAAAGTACTAAAAATAAAGCAAGTGGACAAACAAGAAAGCATTACTTTCACTCATATTTTCCTTCATGATGCCATCCAGGGCCTAATACTCAGCAAGAAGATAAATCAGACTGGAAAGAGCGAAGCCATAGAAAAGTAGCAAAATTATGGCCTAAGGATTGCCAGAAGAGTGGTTTTGAGAATCATGGCAGACGGTGGCTGTACAGATGTTGAAGAAAGGGGTTGGAGATGTAAACCTAAAAAGCCTCAATCCCCCTCTCTTTTCAAAAGTCTACCACAAGAGAATATATTGTGGAGAGCGGATATCAAGAGGCTTGTGTTAAATATATTTGTTGTAAAGGTAGCATAGCATGAGATATAACCAAGCTGGAACTAATTTCAATATTCAATTAGTGACATCAAACTCTCCTTGGACTACCATGTTGTACTGACAGCTTTCAACTAGGTAATTCAGGTAGTAATCTCATCATTCTTTTTTTCCAACATCAAGCAGCTAAAACTTCTATCAAGAATGCAAGAAAGAAAATCTCAACATTTTCCCTCTGTAATCTCATAGAACTACCTTCTGAAATTTCAATCAGTTTTCATCGTACTAAAGTAAATGTGCAACCACGCATATATATAAAAGTAAAGCTACCATACATACCCTTCTAGCATAACCAATGTAGTGAATGCCCAAGAATTATCATAAGAAAACTAAATAACTTCTTCTTTTTTTTGGGGGGGGGGGGGGACAAAAACTAAATAACTTCATTTCCCAAGATATTTAAAAACTACCTTACAAATTTCTAGTAGCCTGACCATTTATCATCAAATTTAAAACAAAGACGATAAACAGCTAAAGTTTATTGGCCTAAGCAAAGCTTTGGGTGGAAAGTGGAAAGAGAGCTCCCCTTCAATGCTTCTTGTGTTTCAGAGAGACTGTAACCTGAATATTTTGCATATATTGGCCTCATCATCTTATTTTGGGTTTGAATCTTCCCTTCACATCTCTCTCGAATCAGAAGAAATCAATCTACCAAGGACAAGCCCGCCTCATTGTCAAGATCTGAGAGATTACAGTTGATAGAGAACTTCAGCCATCTCTTTTTCTCAACAAGTTTCAAACAAGGCTGTAAGACAAGACCAATTAACACAGCAATGAGGCTTATAACCATCACTTTGAAGGAGGAGAAAGCCAGCACAACACAAATCAATATCGTTGGAGGAATGCACATAAGAATAGCTCCGATTGTTCCCCCAGGTATCTTGTACGGCCGAGGCATATTGGGGTGTTTGATCCTCAGCAATATGAATGCTATGAACTCCAGAATCATTCCAAAACAGTAAAGGAAATTCTCCGCGGCTACAATTTCTTGGAAGCTCAACCATGATAGCAGAATCACACCTGAGGCTGAAAATAGAATCCCAATGAGAGGGGTTCCATATCGAGATCTCTTGCTAAAGAACTCTGGCAACATTCCCCTCTCAGCCATCCCTAGAAGTTGAAAAGAGTCACTGCTCATCTCAGCAACAAACATCCCCATGTTTGACATTGCAGCAGCTGCCTGAAGCCACCATCTCAACCACACTCCTCCAACAATAGTAGCAATATCTGAGAAGTACCCATCTGTCCACAACTTTTGATTGAGAGGAACAGCTCCAGTACCGATTAGAAGAGGAAAGAAATACCCAAGAACTACCAGAATCACAGCATAAAAAAGAGCCCTGGGAAGAGTTTTCTTTGGATTGTCCACTTCTCCCACAAGAGTGCTTACGGAATCCCAATAATTAAGATTCCAGAAGAGAGTGTTCAAATATAGATTCCAATCCACGCCATTCAAATTTGTCACGAACCACCTAGAAGGTTCCAAGTCTGGAATTGCCAAAATTCCCATTACCACAAAAGGGAGGAGAGAGAGAACCCCTAAAAGAGTAGCAACCCATCCCACAATGGTTAAACCCCTATAGTTCAAGTAAGTAAGAAGAACTGTCAAACCCAATGCTGCAACGGTTCTTGGCATGCCACCCCCTAAAGCCGGGACTCCTGACTTCAGATAGTCAAGAAACAATACTGGGTACAAGGCATTATCAATTACCCCACTTATCCACTTCATCCAACCTTGCTGAAACCCCCAGTAGGGACCCAAAGCTGAGGAAACCCAAACCACATAACCACTGTTTTCTGGGAACATGGTTCCCATCTCAGCAGTAATCAAAGCTTCGGGAATACTCCATATGAATGGGAAAACCAAGAACCCAAGCAAAGCTAATAGAGGACCAGCAGCTTGCACGGTATCCTCCACACCAAAAGGACCCCCAGAGACCTCATAAAAAATGAGAAATACAAGAGGAAGAACTGAAACTTTTCTAGAGTTATTTGCCTTATGAGAAGGCAATTCACCAATAACTTCGTAATCCCCCATTGCAGTAGAGGCTTGTCTAGTAGCAGTAATCCTCAATTTCTGCAACCATGGAGGGGAAATTCACGTTAGGTTTTTATACAGAAATCGAAACCCAGAAAATATGTCTACTGAGTTCACCACAGTCCACAAAAGAAAGAACCTGTTTTTTTTTTTTTCGTGCGCTCAAATAAAAGTAAAAATAGGTACTCTGTCAATTTTAACAGCTAAAATCTCCTCATTCTCCCACGAATTACGAAATCAACAATTGCATTCCTATATACAAGAAGACGAGGGGGAAAGAACAGAGAGATGTGTCATTCTGCCATTTGCACGCCGAAATCAACCTCAAACTATATGAAGAATAAAAATCAAATAAATAAAGCCAGCTGATATTGGACAGAGATCTGGTCTGACCAGACAAATCACGGAACCATAAATGGAAAGCTCAAATAAAATAGATAAATAAAAAAAAATTTGATCCAGCGTGTGAAATCGAAACAGAGATTGAACAGACCATGAAAGATTCGGAGATCCTTTAAAGCTCGAATAGATGATACCCTCCATTGTTTCCCCGAGCGTTGAGGATTTAGAAAGGAAAGGAAGAGCAAAAGAGGACCATCTTCGTCCTAACCGCTCAGTCCCTGAGAAGCACTTTATTTTTAAAAACGAGAAAACAAAAAAATAAAAGAAGAAGCAATCGTCGTCATCGTGAAGTGCCACGTGAAGGACACGTATGACGCACAACGCGCATCTCAAGAATGGATTATTATAAACCGGAAATCAATAACATTCCTGTCAGGCTGAGGCATCATTTCCCACTTGACAAGATTAAAAAAATATATTTTGATTAGTATTAGTGATTTTTTTTATAAGACATAAATTCGATTAACAGAGGACATTGGTGCCATGCTACAATTGTGTATTTTCCACTGTCGAAAAGGAGACTAATGCACATGAATGGGAAAGCCAACACACAGCATGAGAGAGAGAGAGAGAGATTGAAGGGGGAAATTTTGCAATTTAGACGTTTGATATTTTTTAATTTCTGTGGCTGAAAATTCATATTTTTTATTTACAATTTGTTGATGATCTTTTCCACGAGAGGTGCATGCAAGAAGATGGGGCAAATGATACATCCTCAAAAACTGAAGAGTTCAATCTTTTGCGGCCCAAAAAAATCCCTTTAGATTAAAAAAACAATATACAACTTCAAATCTTTAATATAAGACCCTGTTTGATTTTTATTTTAATTCTAAATATAAGACCCCAATCCATTTTATCTCTCATATTTATACATTTTTTTTCAAAATAACCCTTCTAATAATCATAGTTCTAATCAATACACTTGATTAGTAAGGATATTTTATGAAAGACAACATCTATTTAGGATAAATAACTAATTTAACTTACTTCTTTAATCTTCTCAAATTAGTTAACTGGTTCTTATAATTAGGACCGGATGTAGTATTTCTTATTGATTGAGTAAACTATTCGGGTAAAAGAAACGTGTATTCATATTTAAAAAAGAAAAAGGCGAAACCCAATAAATAAATAAATACCTCCATCGTGCCTCGAAAAACAAAAACAAAAGACTCAAAAAATATTCCGCTGAATTGAAAAAAAAAAAAAAAAAGAGCCATTCATTTCACAGAAAAGAACAGGAATGAAGTGATTCACCAAGAAGAAAATAAGAACAGAGCCGTGCTCATAAGTCATAGAATTTAGTCTTATTCTCTAAATTTCTTCGCTGATCGAGTGGGGATATATTCTCTAAACGAGTTAAAACGGTGACTCTTCTATATTATAAAGCGATCCATGTGCATTTGCAGTTGCACACTTGCACTGGAATAAATCAAATGAGGGTCATTATTGATCCTGAAATGAAAAGCATACGTCAAAAGACTGAATTGCCCACGATTAGGGGGGTGGGAGGAAAGGGATCTGTGTTTGGGAGTACCTTCACGGCGGCTCTGTTCACCGGAAGTCGATGATCGGGAAAAATGCACACTGCTTGCAGGCTTACCCTATGGCCTTCGCTATCGGCGAAAGCGAGCTCAGCACTTCAACGAGAGAAGCGTACGGCCCTTTGAGAGACAGTGGAGAAGAAGAAGAAGGTGGGTGAGACACTTGAGAGAGTGATCCCTATCCGTTAAGCATCTGTGCTTTGTGTCTTTATACTGTCATCACATAGAAACTGGACACTTTCTTGGTGTCCTTGTGTTGCCAGAATAAGAAACTAGACACGTGCTTGTAAGGTTTGAAAACAACCACACCTGATGTTTTATAAATAATTATTGTCTCCAACCCTAAGTATAATATTTAGTCTGTAGTTGAATTTGCACTTTTAAAATGTGATCATAATTATAAAAAAGATGCCTACCAAATATTCCGTGATTCCTAATATAAAACTTATTTTATAGTATAATTTAGGGAAAACCATATTGAAAGTACCTATACTTTCTCTCAATTTTTAATTTGGTACCTATGTGTTTTTTTCCTTTTAATTAAACATTTAATTTTATCTTTTTAGCAACATTAGCTCTTATAACTTTGTTCTATTGATATTTTTAGTCTCTACATAAGGATTAATGATGTTAATAGAGCAAAATTAAAGATTTAGTTAAGAACAAAAAACACATAGGTACCAAATTGAAAATTGAAAAAAAGTATAAGTACCTCCAATATGGTTTTCCCTATAATTTATTATAAAACAACTCTTACATTAAAAATTGTGAGGAGTACCAACTAAGTAGGTTCATCCTTGAGTGAATAAAATTTGTATATTACCCCCGATCCTAATTATAACACCTCGTTTATAGTTTACAAATAAATTTTTATAAATAAGACTGGAAGTAATATTATTAAATATATGCTGCATGTAAGTAAGGAATAGTTGATTAAAAAAAAAAAAAAGAGAAGAGTTGGCCTTGGTAAATATAAGTTATACTTGAATCTTTGAATAAATTTAAGGTTGGATGATAAATTTTAGGATTATCTAGTAAATTTGGTCATATTTTAGTTTTGATTTGTAAAATTTAAAACAAATAAAATAAGATCAAATTTAAAAAACTAAAAATTATATTAACTCTAAGTAATTTTTCCTAATAAAAAGAAGATAAAATACACGCGGAATGGAAGTCAAGAACCTATAATGATGTGATAGAAGATGAATGAACCATGTGGACAGTGACAATACCGGTAGCCGTGTGCCCAAATGGCATGCGTTTTTTATGATGATACCAGTGGTTGTGATTGTGATGTCGTGCTCACTGGTGCGGGGCCAGCAATTCAATAATGTCAATCCAAATATCAAAATTTTTGTAATTTATATTTATAATTAAATTATGAAAATTAATAAAATTAGACCCCGTGCATGCCAATAATAATTTCGTCGATCCGACTCAAATATGAGATCTTGTTTGAAAAAACTAGATATCAAATCACTTGATCAACTATAATTAATTGGCTTAAACTCATTTGAACTAGTTTGGAGTTATGGAGAAGGACTTTGGAGTCGAAAGGTTTCCGTTTGAGCAGGAACAAAACAGAATATATGCATTGTGATTTTGGAAGGAGGCAAGGTAATAGGGATTTGGAGGTGAGGATAGGAGAGCAAATTATTCCTCAAGTATCAAAGTTTAAATACCTAGGATCCATTATACAGGAGGATGGGGAAATTGATGGAGACATTTCTCATAGAATACAAGCTGGCTGGTTAAAGTGGAGGAAAGCTACCGGAGTTATTTGCAATAAGAAGGTACCTGAGAAACTTAAAGGAAAATTTTATCGGACTGCTATAAGACCAGCTATGATGTATGGTAGTGAATGTTGGGCAATAAAAGGAAAACAAGAGCACAAAGTCGGAGTAGCAGAAATGAGGATGTTGAGATGGATGTGTGGTCATACAAGAAAAGATAGGATTCGAAATGAAAAGATCAGGACAAGAGTCGGTGTGGCACCTATCCAAGAGAAAATGGTTGAAAATCGCTTAAGATGGTTTGGACATATGCAGAGAAGGCCTTTGGAGGCCCCGGTGAGGAGGGTGGATCAAACAAGATGGAGTCCCATAAAAAGAGGCAGGGGAAGACCGAGAAGAACGCTGAATGAGGTCATTGAACGAGACCTCATAATCAACAACATATCTAAGGATTGGGTTGTTGACAGAGCACGATAGCGTCGTGTGATTCATGTAGCCGACCCCACCTAGTGGGATAAGGCTTGTTGTTTGTTGTTTGTTTTTTTTTAAACTCATTTGAACTAAATAAATAATTTATGCCTATTGGCAAAGAAAAATTATGCTGTTTATAAGTTGTAAATATGTGTGGCTTGTTATTGATTTATAGGTACGCTTACTCGGGTTGTAATTACTGTCTCTTTAGCTTGTGATACAGTTTTTATTTTAAAAAAAAGATTTGCTATGAATTTTGCATTTTTGTATATTAGCAATTATTAATATTGATAACTAAATGTGTTTTTTTTTTCCCACAAAAAGTTATGATTTTATTGATTACAAAAAAAAGTAAATACAATCATTAATAAACAGTTTAAAACGCAAGCAACCTATCCGCAAAAAAACAAACAAAACAAGGAAAGAAAAAACACTTAAAGAATGTTTGGAAGCACCAAATAATGCTTCTTCTTAGAAACACTTTTGTCATAAAACGAGATAAACTTCTTCACATATTTACTTTATATATCGTAAAAATATTTTTAAAATTATAGTTTGGTTTGTATGTAAACACTCTCTTAAAATGAAACGTGTCAGCCAATTCCATTTTCCCGATCAAAAATACCACTATATATCCAACTCTGAAGTTGCATGCCGAGCCACCTCCGAGTCCCTGGCAATAAAACGAGCAAGAAGAGGTGTTGGCTCGCTAACTCATGCTCGGGTACGGTTCTTTTCGGACTTCCACGACAGTATGCAGCCTGCTTGATAAGGCGTTTTGAGGGGGAAAACAACAGTTTAGACGAGTCACAAGTTAATTTACAAATTTAAAAATTATTTATCACATTTTTAATCAATTTGACTTATAAATCAAAAGCTATTTTTTTAAATATGATTGTAAAAACATTTAAAATTTAGTTATCACTTATGTAAAAATAACTTTTTAGAATTAAAAGATATTTTTATCTTTATATTTATGTTGTTCCTATGCTTCTTTCTCTATATATTCTTTTTGCTTCTCAATCAATTTTAGTTATTTGTTTTTAATATTCTCTTATGTAATATTATTTGATTAAAAAATTTTCACATTACTATGATTTCTAATGTAAATATATTTTATTAAATAAATATAAAATTATTATATTTTGTAAATTTATATTTTTAATTATTTTTATTATTTAATAAAAGTCATACATATTTTGGTCATTCTACAAACTAAACTTACTTATTCAATTATAATCCAAATAACTTTTTTACTTCATAAACTGATTTTTATAAAACTCAATCCAAGTACAAATCACATTACCTAGTCTAACTTTTATCCAATCTCATTTTTTTTAAAAAGTCAAATTGAAAACAAGTTTTTTTCTTCGCTAATAAGTTTATAATGAGATGTTAGGAAAAAAAATCAGTAAGTTCTAATGCCAAGTGAACAGTTGTTATTTATTACTCCTGGTCCTTAATATAAGACCCAATTTTTAAGTTGGTTTTAATTCTAAATATAAGACCCATTTCTCATATTTATCAACTCTCTCTAAATTACCCTTACAGATACTCCCTCAACCATAATCAAGTAGAAGAGGGAGAAGAGGTATTATGGAAAATGATTATGGTGTTTTAGGAAAAACGTGTCATATTTCTTATAATTAACTAACTTACCTAACTTTCTTAATCTAATAAAATTAGTTAAATGTGTCTTATATTAAGGACCGGAAGAGTATTATAAAACTTATTATTATAGGATACTCTATTATTACTGAGATTTTTTTAGTAATTATGATTTTTACTTAGACTTTCACAACAATTCTCCCATTTACCTTGGACAATAGATCTCTAATATCTTGCAATCAAAGACAGCATTCCCGTTCCCCGCAAAAATCTCTACTTCCATTTTTAACTCAAATGTGTTTATTTTTCACACTATGCAAGCTCGAGAGAAAATATGTTATTGCTGTGTATAATTTATAAATAGCACTGTTTGTTGTGAATTTTGTTGTATTGAACAGCTGGATTTTGGCGATCTATTGTTTCAGGAAAAGTAAAACAGGCTCTTTATGTGATTGAGAATGAAGAGTGCGAAAGGGACCTGGATACCCCAGATTGGGTTAGCACTAGTAGCCCCCATGACCCTCAATCATGCCCCCTTTTTCATCTTTTCGTACTTAAAAATAATGAACGATCAGACATCTATAAAAGCTGATCCAGTGAACAACGAAATTCAACTATTTCTTTTTCTTGCTTGTTAAAAAATAATTCACGATAAAAAATTAATCTTTTTATTATTTCTAATTCTTAATATAAAAACTCATTTAATTTTTATTTTGATTTTAAATATAAAACTCTAATCTACTTTATCTCTTATATTTATTTATTTTTAAGATATTTTTTGTAATAATGATAATTTTAACTAGTATACTTGTCTAGTAAAGATATTTTAAAAAAACAATGTCTATTTATTACAAATAACTAACGTAACTAATTTTTTTAATGTACTTAAATTAATCAACTATTTTTTATATTAAAAACCTTATAGGTGATATGAAGAATTACAATGAGATCCTAAGTAAGGAAAATAATTGAAAAATAAATCTCAGAAGTTGTCATTCTCATTATAAAACTTGTTATTATATATTGTCGAGATTGTTATTAGGATTTTTTGATAATTATTTCTTTCATGTGAAATTTGATTGTAATTCTTTCTAGGTGATATTAGTTTTTTTTTTTAAATCAACTCTTCACTGGCCCAGACGCTAATGCATGCGCTGTCTTCCAGTTTCAAAGGCTGGGACGCTGCATGTGTGTCTCCATCTGATGTCAGTGGGTGGGGGATCTCATATGGATCACAAGCACATAATGCATCTTTGATTAATTAAAGGGGTGTTTGGATAAAAACCAAATCATGGTTTCAGAAGTGCTTTTACGGATTACGAAGTA